CTAAACAGTTCAGTTTGAATGAGTTTGATTTTACAATAAATATATGTCTGATTTATTTTTAGCAATGTTTTAATAATGAATCTATTCAATTTCATAATAAAAGCAACTGGATAACCACAAGATATTGGTCTGTAAAGGGTTGAACAACATGAAAAGCAACTGGATAACCACAAGATATTGGTCTGTAAAGGGTTTAACAACATGAAAAGCAACTAGATAACCACAAGATATTGGTCTGTAAAAGGTTGAACAACATGAAAATAATAATGAAAGTCTTCCGGATATATCCGGAAATCCGGATATTTCTAAAAAATCCTGAAAACCTTCGGTTTTCTTCCGGAGAAACACATTTTTGAAAATTATTTATCAGATTTCGGTGTTCCATGCCATAGATAAGCGTTTATGCAATTACGCGGTTTGTTTACATTCGGCCATGTTTTTCAACCCTTTACAGACCAATATCTTGTGGTTATCCAATTGCTTTTCAACCCTTTACAGACCAATATCTTGTGGTTATCCAGTTGCTTTTCATGTTGTTCAACCTTTTACAGTTGAAAACAGATTTAAAAAATACTCTGATTATCTGTGCTAGAAGATAGCAGGTTTTGTTCATTTTTGCTGCAAATGGAAATACTTACTTGGTTCAGAATCCTTTTTAATATTACTCTGTATTAAAGTTATATGGCTGATAACACACTGAACTTAAACACTGTTAAGTTTTGTACAGTTTAATGGAATTTACTGTTTGTAAGTGAAACAAAGTTTAACTATTTAATGCTGGCATTCTTGTTAAAAAAAAAGTTGCAATACATTAATTTAGCTATAAAATTATAATTTCATCAAAAAATGACTGTGAATTGTATTTTACAAATAACTTACATTTACATGTATTTTGACAAATGCACTGAAAATATATCGTAACAATAAGATTTACTACTGAACATATGTAATTTTTCAATTTTATGATAAATTACAAAAAAGATAAGAGTAATTCAGAAGATCTTCTTAAGCATACAATATAGATAGACAACAGAAATTTTCTTTTAACTCCCTATGTTAACTCGTAAATCTTATGCAAACTTTTTTTTAGATGTAGAGGTGTTAGAAACAATTAAGTTATATATACTGCAAAAAAGAAGATATACTTGAGATGAACAACTCAAACAGGTCTACTTTTTGGGTCTCAAAGAAAAATCACTTATCAATAAGCACTGTAGTACTTAGTATCTAGGTATGGGTTGAGAAAAAACTGCCACATTCAATATATTATTCTTACAAATAACAGATAAAGTTGAAATATAGCCTTATTTGAGCACCTAATTCCCATTATTGAGTGTTTCACAGCTTGTGAGACTTCCAGTATCATTGAAAAGTGTTGCTAATGTGGAGAACTGGGAACTAGCTAAAGAGCCAAAGTGCTCATCTTTGCTTTTCCTTTTCCAACACTAGCCAAAAATTGTGTGAAGTTTTTAGTTCAACAGAAAAGCATTTTAAGAGCACTTGGAAACAGGCCATCACGAAGCATGGTAGTGTTTAGTATAAGCTAAAAAGAAAAAGAATCATAATTCAGTGTAAATAATGTTATCATTACCCTTGAAGTTAGCTTTCTTACAGAAATATGGTACAGGGTAAAACAGGAATTATGTAATCTATTACATTAGATGACTGTAGCATGCAGAATACTCAATTCTTTGTACACTATACCATTTGTCTTTAGGGAGCCAACCCCTACATTATGTATGAAGCGAAGGAGTAAAAAAATCAATACATATAATTTTAAATTTTACTACATACATTTATAGAATACACTAACTTTCAGTCAGGGGAAAAAAATCACTAAATATGTTATAAAAACATTTTCCAAATGTAAAATGATGTAGGGATGACATTTTAAAAAAGAATGCAAACATGAATATAGGAACGATACAACAATACATTTTTCATATGTTCTTTCCTTACTGTAGGTTCCTCAATATTCAGTCCCAAGAAGTCAAGATTATTACCAGTGATGATTAATAATCTATTGTAGCCAATTGTATGGTATAATATTAATATCTGAGGTCATTCTACAAGTGCAATGAAGAAACTGACAAAACTGATATGATAATACCAATATATATATATATTACCATTGAATTATAACAATAAAACAAATGTTCATTTATCAACCTACTTCAATGAAATTGTTAAAACAAAAAAGAGGGGAAACAAGTAATAAAAAATAGTGCAAAAACATAAGTATGATATAGGGATGGCAATGCCAAAACGTACAGAAGCATGGTAGGGAGGAACACACAAAATCATACACAAATCCCTAAATAAGTAGTCAAATCTTTCCAAGCATAACTTTTATCTACAACTAAATGCTGAATTCCTGTCAGTTGCATGAATTCAAGTTTGAATAAAAGCATTTAAACTGAATAGTGCTATACAGTCTTACATAAACTTGTAAATTTGAGTCTGTACTTTCTGGCTATTTATCTAGAGATTTTTGTATGGTTTTGTGTATTTATTCCTTCCTTGTTTCTGTACTTTTTTGGCATTGCCATCCCTACATCATGCTTAATTTTTGAAATTGTCAGAAATATTTCAAATTTATGTGGTACTGCCCTTTGTCTTAAAAGTATCAGATTCTGCACCTACTCTAAAAATAGTTTACTTACTCTGTTATTTTCTTCTTCTTATGAGCATCCCATAATCCCTTTTCAATTTGATGTTCTCCTCGAGCCAGTCCAGCAGCAGTGACATCCTTTAGGATCACTTCATAACCTTTGTCTACACTAACCTGTGCAATCCCAGCACCCATCAGTCCAGCACCCACAACTCCTACTTTTCTGCAAGAGAGATAATAATTGGTCAGTCCCCATCAATCCACACTTAACTGGAATATTAAGTGTATCAGTCAGTAACTTGAGCAATTCATAAACCAAGCAAACTTAACTTACTTGCAAAATAGTTAATAGGTTAATGAACTGAGTAAACCAATAATTCAGCTACCTGCTCTCCTGCAAAATAGTTAATAGGTTAATGAACTGAGCAAACCAATAATTCAGCTACCTGCTCAGGTAGCTGAATTATTAGTTTGCTCAGGTTACTAACTGATTCACTATTTTGCAGGAGATCAGGTAGCTGAATTATTAGTTTGCTCAGGTTACTAACTGATTCACTATTTTGCAGGAGATCTCCTGCAAAATAGTGAATCAGTTAGTAACCTGAGCAAACTAATAATTCAGCTACCTGATCTCCTGCTAAACAGTGAATCAGTCAATAACTTGAGTAAACAAGTGATTCATCTCCCTGCTCTACCACAAAACAGTGAATCAGTCAGTAACCTGAGTAAACAAGTGATTCATCTCCCTGTTCTACCACAAAATAATGAATCAGTCAATAACCTTAGTAAACAAGTGATTCATCTCCCTGTTCTACCACAAAATAATGAATCAGTCAGTAACCTGAGTAAACAAGTGATTCATCTCCCTGTTCTACCACAAAATAATGAATCAGTCAGTAACCTTAGTAAACAAGTGATTCATCTCCCTGTACTACCACAAAATAATGAATCAGTCAATAACCTTAGTAAACAAATGATTCATCTCCCTGCTCTACCACAAAACAGTGAGTCAGTCAGTAACTTGAGTAAGCCAATAATTCATCTCCCTGTTCTCCTGAAAAACAATGATTCAGTATAGTAGGAGATATAATGAAGATATCTGCAGTAAGAAATTCTTGGCACGAAACATAATTCTGAGTGATGTTTACAGAGTACTAACAATGAACACTGTTACAATGGAGTTGCTTTAAATGAAGAAGTCTACAGCTTTCAAAATTAGAGTAACTCCAGTAAAATAAGAAATAAGTTTGAACAGGAATTCCTACTTGGCATAGATGCTAGGTGCTCCAAATCGGTTCTTCTTACACAGTGTTTGACCATGATAAAGACCAATCAGAGCTCTAGAATGAGGTGTCATTGCCAGTTCACCAAATCCCATGCACTCTGCTTGGTAGCCAGCAGTAGAACCACTTTCAAGACCTGTCTTAACAACCTTTAAAACAAGAAAAACACAGAAACTTAGTATCATTATAACATATTATTTTAACCTAAACCTATATTTTGTTACATTCAGGGGCATGGCAAATTTTTTCTGATATAAAATTTTAATTTAGTTGCTTTCTACCAACAAAAATTTAGAAAAAATAGCAGTGATCAAAAAGTAAATTTTTACAATTCTTTATGGTGCCCGTTATGCATATATATATATATATATATATTATGTTCGCAAAACAAAAGTAATCAGAATGCATCATTTCAGGTTTAAATTTCAAAACTTTCCCAAGTCAGGCTTCCTGTATCCCCACCATTGGGATGGGGGGAGTCTTTTTCCTCTCATACACCCTTTGTAACTCCAATTTACACCTAGCTACACCCCTGATTACAATTATATAAAAGTTTTAGCAGTTACTGAAAATATACCTTAACAGTTGGAACAGAAGTTTAGTGAAAGATATAATGGAGGAATAATGCTGGATGTGAAGCATGGTTCCAAAATATGATGACCTATTATCAGCCTAAGAACACATGGAAAACTTATTACACTGTATGTGTGGCATACAAGAAACACATAAATAAACAGGAACAAGACAAAAAAAGTGAATTTAATGTGACTGAAAATAAGTTTAACACAGCTTATATAGTGATTTAGTTATACAATTAAATGTTTGTCTTGTAACATAACAGGGATAACATTTGACTGCAAAAATATTTAACAATATGTGAAAGTTCAGAATACTATAACTCCTGTCTAAAGCAAATGTTAGCACAGTCAAAAGGAACTGCATTAAGAAAAAAAAATGCAAACCTAAATTTTAAATCTTGAAATAAATATTACAAATCCCACACTAATTCTAAGACATATATATTAATTACTATTACTATTAATTTGAGTTAAAATACTGGAAACTCTGACTTAAAAAAATAAAAGTTGTAAGCAGGGAAACGTATGTCATGATACAAAGAACAATATTAAAAATGTATTCTATATGCACATTTGCAAAGACACGAGTCTGTAAAATACACAATTGATAATAATGGCTGGAGACGGCTTGAATGGGTAATGAAGAAAAACTTTAATGATAAACAATTGATAAACTATTTGATAAATATAACAAAATGGTTGCATTCTAAGTCTACTCAGGCTTAGGTTAAATACTGAAATTTAAACATTTTAAATTAAACATGATACTAACTGTAATGTGGTTCTAAATAACCTTAACATACTTAATTATTTCCACATTTCAAGCCACTGATAATCTTTTTGCTAACAATATTGCTGTATTTGTTGTAAAATTTGAAATCAAGATGCTATTGTAGTTTAAAGAATGATGGTGTAATTACATTTCATTTACTAAATAGTAGTCAACAATACTTATTTAACAACTCATAAAATTTTGTTATATATATATATATATATATATATATATATATATATATATTTACTACTATTATTATATATATATTATTATATATTTATTTTACTTATTAATATACTA